AAGTTTAAAAGAAAGTAGAATGAATTTATAAGAATAAAGCAACATAGAAGTAAAGACAAAATGAAGAATGATAAAAGTCAAAGTGAAATGTAATAAAGACGAATATGAAAACAATAAAGTGATATATATAATTATAATAATAACAAAGCATAAAGAAGTAGGCATAATAAGAATAAAAGCAAGATACATAGACTTTTGGCGGTAATTCCCTTCCATAGTATCCTTGCTCTCTCTTAAAGGAAAAAACTAAACTCCCGCTAGATCCGCCACTACATTTCTTCTCCTTTCGTTTCTTTGAGTTGTAACGGGAAAATTCTTGGCACATTCTAAAACATGCATTATCCTCGTCTGCTAAGGGCAAAATCTTGTAATATTCTGTAGCCTGCTAGGTCTTTTAATGAATTAACATTTAACCATATTTTTCAAAATGTTTATATATGTACATATGTACACGTCATCCCGTTTGAATAGAGAAAGTAAAATTGTGTGATACACATAACGCGGTCTTTGCTTTAGACTACGCCCAACACATGTTTTAATTTTCTCCGCACCTCAAACATGTATATCTAAATTTCTAAATCAGTATTGGATGAAATATTTACCTCATTCTTCATAATCTTTAATTTTATGTTTATTGTGCGTTTTTCTTTAACCTTTAGACCGTCTTTTTAATATACTATTATACTAATGTTATTTATTTTTTATTTAAATTGTTTTAACTCCGCATTGTCGCATATCTGTGGTGATTTTCTTTGATCTTTCTGCGGTGATATATCCCATATCACATATGTGATAATACTTTCCACGCCCCTTCATATATCACTGCAGGAGGCAGAAATCAGGTCGTGAGAAAAAAACCTGATCTTATTTCACAAGTTCGTAGCTACAGAAAAATGAACATTTCTAGCTATTTCTTAGCCTCTAACTAAATTAAAATACATGTATTTAACTCAGTTGAAGGTTCCCAGTCGTTCAAAAGATTAATTATCCATTTTGAAATTTTGAAAGTTACGGTAATTATCCAAACTTTACATCGTTAAACTCCTTGATATTTCCTTCTGTGATTTCATATATGTCGAGTGCTTGGCTCAAAGATTAATTGTCAAAATCTTCAAACTCAGTTAAAAAGTCAAAGTCAAATTCACTAAGAACATCCGACATGTTGGAGAGCTAGCTTGAAATGAATCTTTTTTTTTTTTTCATTGAATTTTGACACTCTCAATGAAATTTACGTCATCAGACATGCGACAAGTTGCTTACATCATAGATGCCTCGTATTATTGGTTATATCGTTTTCATGGGGCATGGAAATCCCGGGCGCTCCGCGCCCTCGATTTCCACGCCCCATGAAAACGATATAATCAATACTACTCGGCTTCTATGATGTAACCTATACGAAACGCACAGAGACTTCAAACTTTCATATCATATAACCGACCACCTCCTGGCGGCCGGTGATTAGTCATCAATACAAAAATATAATCATATACTCCTGATATATGAAATCTATTTAATATTTAAGAATCTATAATATAAAGTGAAATATTCATTAATTATTCAAATTTCCCTCTAATATATATAACACTTTTTCTTGCATTGTAATTTAATGAAATGACCCATTTGATATAATTATATTTAATTATTTCTTGATAGTAAAAACATAATAAAGGGGAATAATCAAATGTTGAACCCGCTTTTGATTGGTTCGTTTGGATCTTGAATCTCGAAACTCGAATTTTGAATCTCGAATATCGAATTTTGAATCTCGAATTTCGAATCTCGTATTTGGAAACTCGAATCTCGAATGAGCCTTCTGGGCTTTCGTAAAGATGTCCTAACTTGTTTGGTACATAAATATATACCGTATATAATTTTCCAACCTTAAAATAGAGTGTTGCGTTTCTATTGTCGGTGATTGAAGGGCTTCAAATTTTGACCTTTTCTCGGCGCTCATTGCCATTGAGCAGTGAGGGATCTACAACGTGCCAACACCTGCTGCTGACACGGGACCTCGATTTTTAAGGTCTCATCCGAAGGACCCGCAACTTTCACTTCAAAGTGCCGAGTGCATGGCGAAGGAACAGTTGCTACCTATGTTTTATCGACTTAGGTCAGTCTCGGCCGAGATTCGAACTCAGGACCTCCCGTTCACGAAGCGAGCGCTCTACCGACTGAGCTACCGTGAACGGTCCTATTGACGGTGAGTATATAAGAATGTTTTAGCGCACTTTATGAAATATGCATACATAAAAAATGTGTGATTCACACACAAATACTCACATAAAACTTTAAAATATTCCTCAAAAGAATGACTGTCTTTTAAAGCATTGACGACGGATATTTCCGTTGTTCCTCGATCATGAAAAGGGGCATACGGCGGATGTAAACGATCGGCAGGGAATGTACTTGTACGTTACAATTTCAGAATTCATAAAAACACAAAGAAATATATTTGCAACAAATCGTCTTGGTGCATTCTAAATGTTAATTTCCAGAAAATTAAGTGTTTTGAGAAAAATTAAAACAATCATTTAATAAAAATCATCATATTATTTAAACGTATATGGCTTTCATAATTTCATATTCAAATTAATAAGCCTATCTTCATACATATCTTTTCAAATACTTCAGTTAAAGATTTTAATTCCATAATGACATTTTCTTCAATGTCATTTTAACACATAAGTACAGTGAATATATGTTGCAAGTCTTGGAAACTTTGTAAGTACTTTTTTTCCTTTTAGAATATTGTGTTACTCGTATTAATTAAGTTGAAGAGGTATTTAATGTTTGCTTTAGTTCTTCGGCAGCTTCTTTAATAGACTTGATCTGTTCTGAAAGGCTATCTAAACTCTTTTGGTTTGCAATAATTTTATCCCGGTTTTCAGAGAGTTCCTTGATAGTTTCTTCGATGAATTTTATCCTTCTTTGCAAAAGAACGTCTGTGATCTTTAATATCAATTTATTCAATGCATCACCGTGATTTTCTTCCATTGAGTTGCACATCTTGGATTTAAACAACGATTTACTTTTTTCATATTCTTTATCTATAATTTTCTTTTTCCTAGAATCGCTACGTAAGTAAGCGATGATTGGTGCAACAACTGGTGCTGAAGCAACCGCTATAGCAAACCCAGCAGCCAGCAGAGGAAACCAAATTGGAGCAGTAGCTATTACTCCAGCTACATAAGGAGCAATTGACTCCTCTTTATAAATTTCTTCCTTGTCTGAGCTAATTACAGTAGGAGTCCCCGTCCATTCATTTTCCAGTCTTTCTATTTCGGTAGAAATTTCTTTATAGAAACTCAAAATATCATCTTTAATATTCTTGAATCTTTCAACTACTTCAGGTGATCGCACTTTTTCATCTATATAACGGTCAATTCTATCCCGAACTTCCTCATCAAGGACGTTTGGAACATATGTCACCTCCATAATTGGTAGCCAGTCTTTTGGATTCAGGATTCTTTCTTTTCCGATATCTGATGACATGTATTCAAAACTTGTATTTGCTTTTTGTTCAATAATGTCCTTGATACGCTGACACCAAAAATGGCTTTTCTATAGGTAAATATTAAAAGAATTTTCATTATGCAAAGGAAAAACCTACAAAGCAGAATTTGTTTCAAAAAATATATTTTGCAAGTTCTCTTATATGTCTACTACCGGTAAAACCAGAGGGGATTCTAGGTTTCCTCTGAGCCTGTCCTTCCCTCTGTCCGTTCGTTCCTCTTTCCTTTTGTCTGTTAGTCTGTCCCACCTGGGTTTCCCCACTTCTTTCTATAAACGCTAGGTAAATTTTGGTATGGAAGTTAAAGCTGATATTTAACTCTTTACAACTTACTGAACTGTTATGCAACATACACTTAATGTCCACGTCATAGAAATAGAAATTTACCATTTCCCCGCAAGCACCTTTCAGCGTGGTACACCTTTCTTTAAAGTTTAGCGTAAATAATATTCTGACGTTATATTTTAATACAAAAATAACTTTTCTTATTTTATGAGATTTTTGCAAGTATAAAATAGAAGGAAATTGGCATTAAATTAAAAATTAAACGGACTTTTTAAAGTGCGTGAAAATGCGTGATTGCGGGGAAACGGTATATGCGTGATTTTGCGTTAGAAATAGGAAGTGGTATATGCGTTAAAATGCGTGAATGCGGGGAAGGGGGTTAAGAGATCAAGTTTGCAATTGTTTCCGCTTCATTTATTTTTGATAGAACTATAAATGATCAAAACGATATTATCTCTTTAAGAATTATAGATTTTAAACTTGAAAAGTATAAAACCTAAATTACTTTCGTTTAGCCCGTGTATCAATGCAAAATCAATGTGAAAAAATTATATACTTATATTTATTTTTTAATATTAGAAGAAATGTAATTGGCCCAATGGTTCTTGAAAAAAAGTCGAAAATGTAAAATGTTTACAGACGGACGAACAAACAGACAGATGGATGGACGAAAGAAAAACAATATATCAGAGAAGCTTACTTAAGCCTTCGGCTAAGGATAGCTAAAACGAAATTTTAATTTTTCGATATCATTTTTTAAAGTATTCACTGGATGAAAAATACAGTTTCCGCATGGCTGAAACTCTACTGAAACTCTGCGGAAACTTAAGGTTACTAATAGTTTCTGCAAAGTTTCAGTGCGGAAACTTCAAGTTTCATCAAGTTTCCGCAGTGCGGAAACCAAAGGTGTCCACGAATCCAAATAGTTTCCGCAACTGAAACTTGCTGAAACTTGAGGTATACGCAAGGTTTCAGTATGCGTATACGGTTGAAATACATAATATGGTTTACCAATGGTTTCCGCAATAGAAACTTGCTGAAACTTGAGGTATACGCAAGGTTTCAGTATGTGTATACAGTTGAAATACATATGGTTTACCAATGGTTTCCGCAACAGAAACTTGCTGAAACTTGAGGTATACGCAAGGTTTCAGTATGCGTTTACAATATTGATATACACAGGGTATACTATAGGTTTCCGCAACGGAAACTGTAGTATTGACTACACAATTTTAGCCCTGGTTTTCAACCAAAAGTCATTTTCCCCCTGAATTCTCATATTGGAAAAAACAACAACACACTAACACTACTTATCAAAGAATATTTAATGTTATTATCAACATTTACATACATCGGTTGAACATTTTTCTCTTGCATCATAAACATTTTTACAGCTAAGTCCGAGCCCTCAAGTCACGACAGGAGGACAGAGAAAATGTCTGCATTTAATGATGTCTCATACATCAGAGATATAATCTTGCTAGAGGAACTTAGAACTGCATTACTGCAATCAATCAACTAAACCTGAATTTGGTTTATGCAAGTCTAGTATTATTAAGGAAATGTAAAATTACTTGGTATAATAAATGCACAAGTTCACATTATAAGTAGCCAATAAGCACCAAGGTGGATTCCTTTGTTAAAAATTCAGTTTGTAGTCCATCATCAACCAACAGAAAAGTCCTTGAGTGGTTCTCGTTCTTTGATGACCCACTTACACTTATCATGCTTATGCTAGTGGTGGCTGCATGTTTTCGGAACTGTTCAACACATCGCTGTAGTCTGCATGTATGACCTGTTCCAGTTTCAGTTGACTTCAAAAATATCAATGCTTGAGTATAGAGAGACTTGTTTTCATCATTGGAGAAATCATATCATGTTCAAGTTGGATTGATCTGCTCATCAGTTACTTCAACCTATTGAAAATATATATAAATATAGTTTAACAAAATCCCAATCTAAATAAAACATGTTAGATCCTCTCGCATACTCGCTTCACAACATCTAACAACATCCCATAGAAGGTCACGTCAGATGTCAAATACGGAACAACTCTAGACTTATTCGTTCCAATTTATGAAATACAATAATTTTGCAGTTGACTATTTGATTGGTTAATAGAATTTGACCTCTGACGTGACACTCTACAGGATGTTGTTAGATTTAGGCAGTATCTAACATTTAATATCAATTGGATGGACAAAGTCCCTAATGCTGTTCTAGTACAAGCTTTTGTTTGATTAATTTCACATTTTAAGCATTTTTTTTAATCAGAATGATTTAAAATGAAATTTAAAAATTTATCAAGTGTAAAATATCATTAGTTTATTAAAGATGCCTCTTTTAAACACTTGACTAGGGATAATGAAATAAACAAACTTAATTTATTTTAACATGTTAAATGTACCTGAATATGTATGTATAGATTTGTTCCTGATTTTCAGAATAAATTAAGGAATTTTCTTTCATTCTATTTGTTCATCAAAATATTTTTTTTATTTGAATAACAACTAGAGGCCCATAGACCTAATAGGTATCAAGTAACAACTTTCACTCAATTGAATTTGGTTCGTGTTTTAAACAAAAAGCCATGAAATTCCAAATTTTGAAAGACGCACCATTGTTTATCATAATTTTACACTTAACATGCTTACTCTGGTTACTCAGTAACCAAAGGTGGATCAGAGTAATAAAGATAAAATGCTATTCCATTTTAAAACCACCAGTTGTGTACCCCACCCCACAGGAACCACTAACCCTGGGGCCACACATTTCAAAATTTTCTAAATGTTATCTTAAGTTTTATTTCATCATAAATGGTTGATTAATTCCAAAGAGCTATATGGACCAACCCTAGTACTAAAACCCCTGACCTTGGGGCCATGAATTTCATAATTATGGTAGATGACTCAGTGCTCATTTCAATCATGCCAACAGTTTGACTGCTTGATGTCCAGGAGTAAAAAAGAAGGGGGGGGGGGATCATAAAATTTACAAATTTTGTTCCCCTTCACCCGTAGATGCTTTGTACCAAAATTGGTTGAAATTGGTTGAGCGGTTGCAAGGAAGAAGCTGAAAATGTTCAAATGTCAACACACGACAGACAAAAACAGATAGTAATAGGTCACCTGAGTTTACTAAGGTGACCTAAAAATAGGCCTGCTTATAAATAAATCAGAGAATTTTAGTAGTTAGCTCGCAAAATGAGACTTTCTAAGAAAATGTTAACATCTGTTAATTTGATGGAAATGCCGAACATATAAAGATATTATATAAAGCTTAAAAAGTAGAGGAAAGCAGCTTACACCCCCCCTCCCCCACAACACACACTGACTATGATAAATAGAGAGCTTTAAATTATACAGTGAGATTAAGAAAACAATAGAAAATAAAAACATAAACTTTGTGCTTTAGTCCTTAATTTTCTAAAATAGAGTTACATAAGTTCTTACTACTAAAACATACTTTTTAACAGAAGTATTCTTCATCTTCTCTTAGTTTTCAGATGATTTGTTCCATGGATATCTGAAATTAAAATAGATCCAGTTAGTACAGTACCGTACAGTAATAACTTTTTTGTTTTTAGCATGAGCTCAGAAAAGTCCCAAAAACTACTTGCATGCCCATTTCCTTGCACCTGACATGCAGTGAAAATTCTAATGGACACATGACAAAGAAAAAAAATGATTGGAAATTGTATCATTTTAAAATGGACACAGTCACACTCCACTCTGGTCTAATTCTAGGTGGCAGTCCTATCAGGCTATCACAACCTCAATTTACAAGATTTTGAAAAGCAATTATATCTGAGAGTGAGAAAAATTAAATAAGTTATAATTTTCTATAAAAGCAAGACTACATCTAAATTATGTTTGTTTAAGATATGTAGGCCTTCTCCGATTCAAAATTATAATTCATTTGATAATTAATTTTATTTAATATTCTATTTTACATCAAGGGAAGATCATTTGTATAATAACACAGAACTAGGACTCTTCAGTGGCCATTGTTGAAAACTGATTTAATTAGTGATAGAAATATGGCAAATGGTAAACAGCTATAAACCTTACAGAGAGATTACAAAAATCTTATTTGTGTATCAGTCATTTTATCAAGTCAATAAAATTTAGAAACCTTACAGAGAGATTACAAAAATCTTATTTGTGTATCAGTCATTTTATCAAGTCAATAAAATTTAGAGATCATAAAGTATTATGTCAAATTTTCATAATGGGTCACATTGCCAGTGGTTAGAGCGACACACCTAGAGTTGGGGAGTAAGAGCTGATTCCTACATCAAGGGTCTGAATCCAATGTAGTACATAGAGACTGGTCCCTCGGATGAGACCTGTGTTGGTGACGTGTCCACATTAATAAAAAGTTCTCTAAAGGGTAACGAATAAATACAAGTATATGACTGTATAATGAATCAATACATGTAACTTAAGAAATTGAAAATGGCCAATTGCCCATTTCATCAAGCTCCAGTCTATCATAATACATACTTCAGGTAAATACTGTTCTGTTCATATCAAGAGAATCATTTTTATGGTTGTGATTTCTGATGTATTTAGAAACTGCACCACATTTAATACACAAGGTACAATAAAAACATGGTATTTCTAATGAACAATTACACCATGCACCAGGGCTCGAGCTGTGATTCGCCATTGTCGCCAATTGCGAATTTTTTTTCAAAAGTGGCGAAAAGAAATTCATAAGTGGCGAAAATGATTTTTTTTTATGTACCATGTACAAAATTTGAGTAGTCCTGGTTAGCTCCTTTGTTTATTCAAAGTACACAGATTAGTCCCTGTGTTTATTTAATGCAGCAGAGGTGTGAAAACTGAAACCTACATGTAGGAAATCACGTCTCGCTTGAACGAACACAGCTGACTAGGTAACTGGCCTGGAGCAATAAAGGATTACAAAATTGCTTGAAATAATATAATTTGGATTAAACAAGGGGGTATAAAGTGCTATTAGGATATGAAGTTAGAAAATAAAAGATTTTTTATTTTATCAACAAAATCTGGATCTATGTAGATCGTTTTTTTTTTAAACCGAAAGTAGGGAAACATGACGAAAATTGTAAAGAATGGCTTCAAATGTTACCTAATTAAAATTGAAAAATGTGTACATTTACCATAAACTGACAACGAGTGAAAAAGAACTTGGTTTGGAAACAGAATTAACTTTAATAAGTAAATTACACTGAATTATTTACACTAACATGAGCTTGCATATTAAACCCTGGAGTCTTGTTAAAATAAAGTCAACTTTCAAACCTAATTTTCATTACTTTTTAATTACTTATTTTCAAAATTGTTTACTAATTCAGAAATGATGAAAATTTCCATTTTCAAAAAAATGTCATATTTTTACTAGGTCTTTGCCCCCCCCCCCCCCCCAACAGGCGAAAAAGAAAATAAACAAGAGGACATTTTTTGTCAAGAGTTGACTGATATCAATTCAATATCAAATTTATTGTATAATTCCAACATAAGTTTTTTTTTTATTAAATGGATACTACCATAATTAAAGCTTAAATTTAAAACAATGTTGGTGTCAGATAAACATAATTAAAAAAAAGGACTAACATAAAGTGCATTGCATTGTCGAGAAATCAGATGTAAGTATGCCTTTCCTTTTGTCGCGAAAAGTGGCGAAAAATATTTTCGGTCCAGTGGGAGCCCTGCCATGCACACTACCGGTAAATCAAGTTTTAGGTTGCTAAAATAGTGTTAATTGTTTCATATAGATCAAAACATGCACATGTGTCAGCATGATGTTTATGTATCTTTGTGTATAACTATTTTGTTCACGTACGATAATGTTTCAAACTCATTATGTATGGTATGAAACTTAATAAAATACTTCAACTTGAATAATGTCAGGCATTCTGAAAATTATCAAGTCACTTTCATATCACAAAATCTGCAAGTTCTCAGGAATTTTACTTTCATGACTATACAACATGTACAAATTGGCATTTCACAGTGATACAATACTACACAATGGCATTCTCCCAACATGATGCCCTCTAACATGTCTAATATTTACGATTATAGACTGCATGTATGTTAAAAATATATTCAACCCCTTCCTCGGCTGTGCAGCACAGTCTTCCATCAATAATAAAAACAATTCAGCAAAAAATAAATGTAGGGTTCAAGAAACTACTCCTGCGAATAACAATGAACACATCCAGCAGTTATAATGAACAACAAACCTCACCTTTTCTGAAAGAACATAAGCGTGGGGGCAAATCTTTCTCCGAAAAAAGTAAACACCGGATACAAGTTCATAACGATATTATCCTCTAAAACCAACCTACATTTAAAATTCCGGAATACTACAACACGTATTTTTTTTTAACATTATCGGGACGATGCAGAAAAACACATTCTAATAATCACACGAAAACATGCAAGATAAATACAATCTGAATGGTACAAAATGCATGCGGCCGTTTTAACAGCAATTAATTATACGTATTACAACCTAAGCTGAGAATGATTTACAAGGCGCTTTTTCAAAAAAATAATAACTGTACAATGGTCGATTTGAATTTTTGGAACGCGCCGTTTTGACCCAACTTTATTCTTACGATTGCAGACGATAAAAACAAAAATAAAGGTGCTCTGAACTGTAAGAAATAACTACCTGTATCTAATCTGTCGTTTGAGGTGCCTTTCTTCTGTGTAGAGTCAAAAGACCTTCTCATCTCTGTTGTTTTTCTTGAGCAAGTTCTTGGTGTTTTCTTCGCCATTTTCTCCCTCTTTCTTCTACTAAAAATCTAACCAATGAGAGAGAAGCATTCTATCTCGATACGCCACCTAGTGATTGAATGTCAGTCTCTACGGAAAATTCCCCTTAGTTTTTGCATTTCTCTTTTGGCAATATTTTTTTTTACGTTTTATATTGCAGACGTCCTTGCATTTATGACAACTGAATGAACATGTCAGTTTTAAATGCTTAGAAAATAAAATTGAACCGTATTTTAAGTCCCTTATTATCATGGTTATCATGATTATGGTAATTGTTGAAACGGACTGTCCAGATTTTTACAAATAGATTGAAAATCATATATACATGTACTTAGATTATTGTGTAAAAAAAAGTTTACAAGTCAACAAAGTTATGCTGATGGCATATTATCGACATACAAGAGCGATTTACCCCCCCCCCCTTTCTAGTAAGCGATACGAATTAGCTGGTTAAAACTTTATAACAAGTCTGCAAATTTATGTTTATATGTTTTTTTAAATCTTAATCTACGGGATACATTTTTATTTGTGTCCTAAAATAGAATAGATAAATTAACAAAGTGCATGTAAGTTTAAAATCATTGTTATACAGTGAATTATATAATGATTAATTTTGACCTTCGTAACTTAAATAAAACGAAGAAAAAAATTACAAACTATATTAGAATGTGTTGTATAAGTCTCTGTCTCTGTCTCTCTCTGGTATTGCTTTTTATACCTTTGCGAAACTCAAAAGCAAAATTGGAGTTATTAGAATTATTAACCAATTGTTAAAAATTTCCATCTCAGAAAATATTTACATGTACAATTTTAAAATAGTAAATACCGCTACTTCTGAGCATTAGACGATGAACAAAAAATTATTGGTTATTACTCAATACAGAAGATACGGAAACTCTTAATTTTGCGGACAAATTTATAAATGATATCATGTAATAGTGGTCATAGTCCTTTACATATATCATGTATATTGTTGTTTACCAAATGTATTTATCTTTTTTTTTTTATCTTTTCCTTATTATTGTAATAACCTCACACTTTTTTGTTTTGGACTCTAAATTAGAAACAAAACGTTGTTTTATTGTGTACTTAGAAATAACCTAGAGAGAAAAGTTATGAAATAAAATTCATGGACTTAAGTTTGTTTTCATTAGGTTGCGTGTCATCGATCTCTAAATATTTTCAATATTTGAAGTTAATACAATGGTGGCAAACAATGAATACCATTAATTGTCGTTTTTTTGTGATTGCCAATTTCTTTGTGGAGAAATTGTAAAATAATATTGAAATTTTCTAAATAGTCTATTGAACTAGCAAATATTCTCCTTACCTGTAGATTAGTTCTATTATTTATTAGATTGATCTATAGATAAATATCTGAGAGGTTTTTTTTTTTTTTCTTTTAATCACCAACACATAATAAACTTAATAGCTTATATGAAACATTTTATATAAAATATTTTATAAAACAATCTTATTTGTTTGATTTATATATATAGTGTGTGTGTTTTATATATATAGTGTGTGTGGGATTTTTTTTTTCAATTTTAAAAATTTGAATGTTCAGACACATTGGGGTCATTACTAGTGACTATACTGTGTATATCATGTACTGCATGTATATATTACGCCTGGTCACAGCCCATTGTTCCTCTAAGGTAGAAAAACCTCTCAATCCACATAGAATATACAAAAAATACACCAACACGGTAGCAGGTGTCTTCGCGACACGTGTCTCCCCACCTGTGGCACGTGAGGACAGGTGCCCGCGAGTGGGGTTCAAAGAAAAGGATTGAAAATTTGATCAACTTACATACTACTTTTATTTAAAAAAAGTGTTTTCTAAATCACAAATTTAGCACATTATACATCTCAATACGAATATAATTGAACATATTACTAAAAAGTATATGTACCGCGTTTTCAGTAATGTTGCATTAATTAACATCACGAAAGCAAGATATTTGAAAAAAAAAAAATAAATAAAAAAGCCTACACATAATTTGCAATCTAATTAAAATAGCCTTCGCTCCCAGGGTATTGTTTCAAAAAATAGACTTTTTACATTAATAAGTCTTCCTGGTGCAATAAGCATTTGGGTAACAACACTGCCTAGTTAAACTACTTTAAAGGTAGTGATTGTATGGACAGTGATTAGTAATCACTCTGTATCTAGCTAAGCCTAAGATAGTGAAAAGTGGGGTAGTGGTCAGATACTTAAATACCTAGTGAAAGTTACTTATGAATGCTTAGATTTACTAATGTTATCTAGTCTTTCCCAGTAAAACTACTTTTAAGGTAGTGATTGTATGGACAGTAAATTTACTAGTCTTCCCAGTGAATTTCACTAATTATTTTTTTTCAAAATGAGACGATTTAATTTTAATTAGATTGACATAATATGCTGCAGATCTTAAGAACCATGGCATCAAATGTTCAGGACATGTTTTCTTGCAATATTTACCCGCGGCTTTCGAATAAGATTAACGCCTGTTAAACGAATAAAATGTATTCATGAGAACGGAGATAAAAATACATATATGTACGAGATATTAAATCAATGTATTAAATTATAAAAACAACTACAATGTAGTAATATAACTATTGCACTATATTTCTATGTTGAACACTGAATAGTAAAAAGGCTTCCTAGTCAGTATGTGTTGTTAACAAATTGAATTATTGAAATGATAATTTTCCATTCAGGAATATAGATACATGTAAAAGGAATATAAATGCAAAACTTGCTATCTCAGATAATGTAAACGTTCGCTCTCGTAATTATCTGTATTTCATGCACCATGAAGACACACTAATTTTCTTTTTTAAACAAATTAACATTAAATGTAATTGTAGACAGAGGAACCTCCATATATAACCCTTGATTTGTTCTCATACGGAAGTAATATTTTGTGAAAATAATGTATGTTATGAAAAGAATTAATTCCCGAGGGGGAGTCTCGAGTTGGGTAATGTAGAAAATCCTGGTGAGAGGAATCGATTTTGTTTAGAAATGATATTTTTTTAATTCCAGCACAATATGAAATAAATTAATATGAAGCAAGGATCTTGTATAAAGTGCTTATCATTGATATCAATATCGGTATGTGTCAGTTTACACAGAGCACATCTCAAAATCTGAATATGAACTAGTAGATATATTTAAAAATAAAACCATTTTTTAAAATGTATAAGTAAATAAAAATATGATATGGGTTGATTTTTCTACTCTTTTAAAAAAAATATAATAAAAAACAGTTTCAGTTCGGTTTCAGCATGCGAAAACCATACAGAATCAAAATCAATAGTAAAGATAATATGAGTTTGATTTTTCAACCCTTTCGAAAAAAAAATAATAGAAAAAAATTCAGTTCGGTTTCAGCATGCGGAAACCATATGGAATCGAAATCAATAGTAAAAAAATCATTTGAATTGATTTTTTTACCCATTTGAAAAAAAAAAGAAAAGAAAAAGTTTCAGTTCGGTTTCAGCATGCGGAAACCATATGGAATCGAAATCAATAGTTTCCGGAAACTGAAACCTACTGAAACTAAAAAGTATCGTTAAATTGACATTTCATTAAATTTTACATTGGTTTCCGTTTTGCGGAAACTATTTGGAAACAAACCTAATGGTTTCAGCATACGGAAACCCTACAAACTTGCTGAAACTATTATATAGTTTCCGCATTGCGGAAACCATACAGGAAACTACAACGCCAAGTTTCAGCAAGGTTTCCATATAGTTTCAGTTTTGCGGAAACTGGACTTTTCACCCAGTGTATTGTAATAGAAACATCTCATATGGACATTATTTAGAATTTACAAATGTTGGTTTTCTGATGAAATTAAAACGTATTCAGTGTCACGGTAGGTGAAAGGAGATTGGTTTCAAGAATTTGATTTTGAGAGACATTGTCTTCCTTATAATAAAGGTTTTTCCTTTATTCATTTTTTGCATGTTTTTTAACGTCCATACGAGAATTTTTCACTGATATGGACATGCCACAACTTGTACGTGGAGAGGAAATTGTTAACCTATCCTCGACAATCAGAGCTATTGAGCAATGAGTTATATTTTTGTGCCAGCACCTACTATAACACGGGATGTTATGTGGTCTCATCGAAAGGACTGTTCTCCACGTCAAACAGTAAGTTTCGAACCCGGGACGTTAAAGATCAATGTCTTACTTCGAGTCTAACGCTCTTACCACTTTGATTAGGTTTTATATGAAATAATTAAAATCAATACATTTACCGCTGTGCATTTGTTCTTTAGCATATCAATTTTCGTTTGATGCTCTTTAGTTTTCTTTTCTTGTTCCTCTCTTGATCTGTTTGTCAGTTCTTGTCTCGTGCGAACTCCTGTGTACACATCTTCCAACAGTGTACAAAGGTATCTGAAAATATAGCACGAAACATATGAAAAATATTACTGAATCCTTACATGTTAAAACCTCTACTGAAATAAATCCTACTAGTTAAATATTTATTACAATAGTGACT